GCTTTACAATCTATGGGTTTTGACACATGTATAGTGACAAATGTATCTACCATCACGGCATTGTACAGAATAGCTTCATGGCCCTAAAAATCCCATGTGCTCCATGTGTTCATTCTTTTCTCCCCACCCCTCCCAAACCTCTGGCAACCACTGATCTTTCTACCATCTCCGTGGTTTTGCCTTTTCCAGAATGTCATATAGTTGGAATCCTACATCATGCAGTCTTCTCACACAGGCTTCTTTCACTTAGCGGTATGCATTTAAAGTTTCTTAGTGTCTTTTCATGGCTTGATAGTTCATTTCTTTTTATCACTGAATAATATTCCATTGTATGGACGTAACACAGTTTATTTACCCATTCACCTACTGAAAGACATCTTGGTTGCTTCCAACTTTTGGTGATTATAAATAAAGTTCTTCGATCATACATTTTTATATTTGATACAGTCAAATTTATCAGTCTTTTTCTTTTTGGTTTTTGCTTCCCGTGTCTACTTTAAGGAAACCAACACCATTAACACAGTCTCCTATATTTTTCTGACATACCTGTAGATATTTATGTTACTCCATCTGGAATTATATTGGTAAATGGTGTGAAGTAAGGATCTAACTTCATTTTTTTCAGTGAGTAGCTAATTGCTTTGAATCCTTATAAAATGGTCCATTCTTTCCCCACTGATTTTAAATGACAACTTTATACCATACACCAAGCCTCACATATACATGGATGTATCTCCTAACTCGTCATTCTGTCCTACTGATCTCTCTCTCTCTGTTCCTACATCAATGTCACACTGTTTTAATCATTATAACTTTACAGTAGAGTCTGTTACCTAGAAGGACAAGTCTCTCCTCTGTACTCCTGCCCAGGGCTCATTCCCTCTGGAATTGCTGCCCTGCCCAGAAGCTGTGCCCACTCTGCAGAGCCTCAACCCCTTCCTCAGCATCTGCCAGTCCCTTTTCAGAAGCTGGGTCTTGCTCTCCAAACCCTCAGCTGCTGCAACCTCTTCAGTGTCTTCCTCACTATGCCAGTCCAGATGCTCTTCAAATTATTTGACCT